AATTCAAAGATTGAGAATTGGATCTATCTGGCTTCCCTTCTTCTTTCAAAGTGATCTTGTGTTGCAGTCAATATTAGAAAAGGAATATTGCTTTTTTGACTTTATTCTAAAACGTGCAGCTAAAAAACATTCGTATAATTTTCATGTGCAAAAAATAATCATTGGAACCTGTGGCTGCCTTTTAAAGTTTCATTTACCTTATTTGAAGCTTGTATATATACTTCTTCCTAGATGCTATAGGCAAAACATTCAGTAAAGAATATCTGTGGAGATTCTCAGTCATCCAGGTCATGATAGTCCCCGAGGTACTTTTTCAAGAAGCAACTGAACTTTCTTTGTTTTTTACTAGAAGATGTTTCTCTTCTCATCCAAGAAGCTTCTTCAGTTCAGACTGAATGCTTCTCTTGGATGAGAAGCAAAATGTCTTCAAGGAAAAACAAAGTAAGTGAAATTGCCTTTTGAAAAAGCTTCTTTGAGATTCAGTAAGGAAATGACTTTGAGGAATTTCACCTATGTACAGCCAGAATGGTGAAAGCTTCCCCTTTCTATTTAGCATTTTATGGCAGAATTTAAGATATTGGTGAATTCAGTGATCAAGATTAAAAAAAAAAAAAATCTAGGAATTCTAGATGGTTCCTAAGCCATAACTAGTATATATATCTAGTGCCCTTCTCAATGTCAATAAAATGACGTATTCATTCACTTAGTTACTAGATTTCTATCTCTTTTGTTTAGAATCATAGAATCATAGGGCTGGAAGGGACGTTGGAGGTCATTTAGTTCAACCCCCTGCCCAAGGCAGGAGGCCTTATTGCATCCCGGACAAATGGCTGTCCCATTTTTTCTTGAAAACCTCCAGCGACGGAGCACCCACAACTCCAGGAGGTGAGCTGTTCCCTTACTTAATTGTACTTACTGTCAGTTCTTAGTTCCAGATTGGATATCTCTTTAGCAAGCTTCCAGTCATTGCTTCTTGTGCTGCCCTCAGATGCTTCAGAGAATAAGTTGCCCCTTAAGTACCGCAAGGCAGCTACCATGTCAGAATACAGAATATTGACTTACACAGTTGGAAGGGACCTTGGAGACCTTGGCCCACAGGCTGGATGCATCAGGCACAGGCCACGCCCACCCCAGCTCCGCGAAGGCAAAAAACATTGCAATATGTCACACGATGGCAAGGTGATATGGCGAGTTTGACATCCGTGCCCTGTACTATTTCATATAAATAGCTTTCCAATCTCTTCTTAAAATCCATCAGTGATGGAGCCACCCACAACTTGTTCTCAATGACAGGAAATTTCTTCTTAATTCTAGGTTGGATCTCTTTCTGATAACTTTCTATCCATTGTTTCTTGTCCTGCCCTCAGATACTTTGGAGAATAGGTCAATCCATTCTTCTCTGGGACAGCCTGTCAAATATTGGAAGGCTGCTATCATGTCAGCCCTGGTCCTTCTCTTTGTTAAACTAGACATACCTAGTTCTTGCAACCATTCATCCCGTGCTTTAGCCTCCAGTCCCCAATCTTTGCTGTTCTTCTCGGCATTCTTTCTAAAGTCTCAGCATCTTTTTTTGTATCGTGGTGGCCAAAACTGGATGCAGGTTTGCAGAATTCCAATCCTTCTCTCTTGGTTAGGCAAGACATGCTTAGTTCCCTTAAAAGTTCTTTGTACAATGTAGCCTCCAAAGCTCTTATCTTTGATATTCTCTGCATTCTTTCTAGGGCCTGAGCAGCATTTTTTGTATCATGGTGACCAGGATTGTAAACACTACTCCAAATGTGGCCTCACTAATGCATTATAGAGTACTATTACATGTTATCTTGATGCTCTCCCTCTGTTGGTACAAACCAGGACTGCATTGGCTTTTGGGTAGGTGCAGCACACTACTGACTCACACTTAAGTTATTATCCAGTAGGACACCTGCATCCTTCTCACAGTTACTACTGAGCCAGGTACTGTGTAATCTGTATCTATGCCTTTGGGTTTTTTTTCTTCCTAAATGCAGGATCTTCCTTTTCTCTCCATTGAATTGAATCTTGATCCTTCTGAATCATGAGTCTGTCTTCCAAGGTTCTGGCAGTTTGGTGTCATCTGCAAAATTGATGGGTTCTCTTTCCCCTAACCCTGTGAGATAGGTTGGTCTAATATCACACAGTGAGCTTACATGGATGAAAGTGGACTTGAACTCCAGTTTCCTCATTGGCAGTTCATCACCTTAACATTTATACCACACTGGGTCTATTCTGTTGAGGTATCTGTCAGTTTTTCTTCCTGCTAATTTACACTTGGGAATGTAAATAGAGGTGGATATATAATATCAAGCAGCAGTAAATTTTTCTTCATTACAATTGTGGAACATAGGATGCACAAGCAATTATATTAGAAAGCTTGTAACTGGACCTTCTGGAAATGTTTCTTTAGTACTGATGATGAATTGATTTTTTTTTCTCCAGATAGTGTTTTTGTATTTGTTGGAAGCATAGTTAAGGAAAGATGATCAGATTTCTAGTCCTTCTTGGATCTAGGCTCTTGATCCTTTTGGAATTAGATGTACAAATTTTTCTAATTTAAAATTAATCTAATTCTTCTCTGATTTTATATTTATTTTTATCTTGTGGTTTTTTTAATTAAATGTAATTAAATGTGATGCAGATGTACCATGCAATAAATAATAATTCTAATGCAACCTTTTTCCCATTTTTGAAATAATGTGATATCTTTTATCCGTAATGCCCATCATGACTCATTTTGGAGAAGGAACAAGAAGCATAAATAAAAATTATCCTTGGCATGTAGAGAAAAATACTGCAGTGGGATAACACAAACAGTATCATTGGAACTATTTGATAGGTGATCTACTGTAGGAGCTCAGGTCTTGCACTTTTTCCTTTTCTGTTTTTTATGTCTTTATAAAAAGCAGAATTGCGGTGGTGATATGGTGACATCATTAGAGATAGGCAGGGGAGTGAAGGCGAATGTGTCAGGGCAGAAGTATGACATCCTTGCTTAATGATAGTCCAGTCCTGGCCTAAGGACCTCAACTGGGACTACTGAAACTTCTGTCATCAGCAGCACAATGTTTCACCTAATGACCACTTAGCAACAGAAATTCTGGCTCTCATTTAGAACCTTAAGTGAGGACTACCTGTATTTTTCTACTGGGATGGCAGTAGATTTTAGTAAACCAGAATAAAATGGGTCTTGGAATTTTATGAAGAACCTTGGATCTCTTCTCCCAACTGCCCTGTGTGTACTCAGTTTTAATATCTGTCATATAACTACATAGATATTCTTCTTTGGGTGAAATCTGCAAAAGAAGAATGTAACTTAGTGGCATTTCACTCTCTCTGATGTTTGCGCTTTTACTTAGGCCATCTCTCCACCTGCAATGTGCAGCTTGTATGTAAATGTTTTGAATGTGGTGTAACAAAGGAATTAATGTTTGCATTAAAAGTCTTTGATACGGCCGTTGTTCTTCCCACCCAAACAGAATGCATATGTGTCAACAGATTATATCAGGTAAACAATGCACGTGCTATTTATAAATGTCCAGGAACGGCTAGGAAGAACAGTTGGACAACATACAATCACTTTCCTTTAGGGAGCATTTCAGTAAATTCTTGAATTAGAAACAAAAGCTTAAAGCACGTTTTTTTTCCTTGGTGTCTCTGCATTATGAGACTGAGATACAGGAAAGTTGGTTGGGAAACAGTTGTGAAGGAGGTCAACTAGTTGGTTTCATAGTTAGGTGAGGTTTAGGTAATTTTGAATTTGCTGTTATCTAAGGTACAATAAAGTAAATGCTTCATACACTTCCTTATTTCCATTTTTAAACTGCTTGAAAGTGTGGACATATATTGAAGCACAACATGGCTAAGTTGCAAACATGTTATGATGGTGTTTTTATACTTTAAGGCAGGTCTAGAACTCACAATCTCCTGGTTTATAGGCCAGCTATTACCCAATACACCAAACTAGGTTTTATTCAGCCCCTCTATTTAAATGTATACTGCAATGTATTCCAAATGTATTAATAATAATACAAAGAGAGGTAAAAATGACCTTCATAAGTTCACTTGTTTTAACCATGTTATTTGAAAAGTTTTCTTGTCTTGTTTGATGAAAAAAACCCCCAAATTCAAATATTGACAAAAATCCACAAATCCACAAACTATTGCTGCAATTCAAATATAGATTCCTTCTCTCAACGTTGTATGATATTTTTTTTAAAAAGCTCCTAAGTACCTGAGAAATTCATGGTGTCTTAAAAGATTGCAAATATGGAAGAAAATAATCAAGGGGACAACTATATATTGCACACAGTGATCTCTCCAGAATTGTAATGTTTTCAAACATTATTTGCAGTATTCAGTTTATAAAAAGCATTTTTATTAATCTTTTTATATTATCAAAGTAAGCTAATTTCATGTTGAAACATTTAAGCACTTTTCTTAAAGTGTTTTGTTTAAAGAAGATTTAGAAACCAAATTCCTCTCAAAAGTCTAATCATTACACAATTTCAGAAGCAAAGTTAATATTTGAATAATGTAGACTAAATGACTATTAAAGTCGAATAAACTGCCAACAAATTTGTCGTCTTTTTCAGAACTAAGTTGATCCAGACTAATAATCCTGTGACCAGGCAAATTTAGCCCCAAACAGGTTTAGATGCTAATTTTAAGCCAGGATTTATTCCATAATGTAAGTTTTACAATTTACATGATTAAAAAGGTCATAATTATATTTGCAAGCCAGTATTGTTTAATTGTGTTGTTGTTAAGTACAGGCATTGAAATAAATCCCTAGGCAACAAAGAATCCAATCACAGAAATTCTTTGATTTACATTTCAACAATTTTTTAAAAGTGAGGCATGGGAACTCGTGTAAGAATCAGAACAAACACCTAGGTTTATAAGGAAATTTAAGGAAATTATCTTAACCCCAGTGTATTTTCATGCAACTTCTTAATTAATTGCTCTTTTTCTTTTGGTTGGGCAAGTAGAAGAATTGCGGAAGCTGAGTTGGTCAGGAATTCCAAAAGTTGTACGGCCAATTACATGGAAGCTCCTGTCAGTAAGTACTTTTTGATTTTATGATGATGGTGTATGTCTGCCGTGTATAATTTTGCTTGAATCACAACTATTAAGTAGCATTACAAACAGTGTGGCCAAAGGAACACTGTTCTTTTTCAGTTTCAAGAAAAGTTTCAACATGCTTTCGAAGTTCTGTTCTTTTTCCTACAACAATAAAGCCCATTCCTGGAATCCTTATTGTGGCTATTCCCTGACTTTGCCTACCTCAGAAGGATAACAAAACTCAATAAGTAGGCACAAAGTCAGTTGATCATCAACTGTCAAGATCCTAAGAGGCAGAGGAACCTGGGACAATCTGGAAATTGCAGAGACAAATGGGATGGAGGAGAGAGATGCATGAGGGAATTGGAAGGACAATCAAGTCACTGTCTTATTTATATTCAGCTTGAGCAAAGAACATCCCAAGTCAAAACAGTAACTTGATCTATTTGGCCATATATCTTCATCAAGAACCACAAAAGGCAGGTAGAATATTGTCAGTGAAATAGTGGTACGGAAGCTCTTTGGCATATTCAGTGGAAGGGTATAAAGCAGAGTTTCTCCAAACTTGGCAACTTTAAGACTTGTGGACTTCAACTCCCAGAAAGCTGACTGGAGAATTCTGGGAATTGAAGTCCACAAGTCTTGAAGTTGCCGAGTTTGGGGACCCCTGGTATAAAGGATAAAGGAGGGTCCCAGGATTGATCTTTGACACCTGCCATAAGGGAAAGCTCCTGAAGATGTAATTCACTTTGCAAACAAGCCAGAAGATAGAGAAGGGTTGAATTAGTAAATAGCTCCATTATCGATGCCAGGGATCATAAGTAGTACTATGGTCGTATGTATGAAATACTGCAGTCGGGTCCTGAAGAATCAGCCTAGTGTGAGAATTTGGGACTTGGTTACCAAAATAACATTTAGAACTTGAGAAAGCACTATTTCTATTGGTTTTCACAAAATGCCAATTGATGTGGATCAAGAAGGCCACTGGAAGACAAAGAGAAGTCATTGTGAGAAGGCAGGCCTCACAAGAACTTCGGATTAGTTCAGTATTGTGATCACAAAGAGGGATCCTGGGATTTTTTTTTCCCAGTGAGACAAAGAAGGTCATACTTAAAAGAGTCTAGGAAAGTCCCAGGGGTAATGAAATTTGAATGTCTTATGGGTCTCCTGATGTACAGATGCATTCCTTGTTTGTGGCAATAAACAAGGCTGCTGTATTTTTTATTTTTTTTAACCAGAAGAAGAAACTGTACAGCGATTCATATTTGTGGGTAGTGTATGTTATTTGTACTTTAAAAATAAAAGTTGGCTTGATATAGAATATTGAAACTGTTGATCCAGAGAGAGTGCCTGTGTTAATCTTAAAAACTGAGTAAGAGAAGACACGTCTGCCCTAAGGCAAACATTTATATCCCATGAAGAGTTAAATTTACAATTACACATTAAATTGTTTTTAATGATACTAATAGTATCATACATAAATGCAAACTGTTGAGAAGAAGTGAAGCCTAGAATTTAATATTTAACCTTACATAAACCCATGCGACAGGATATTAAATGTCAGATTTCATCTAAAGACATAATGTAAGCTAATATAGAGTAAAATACCTGGAAAATATTGTATCTCTATGTATGTAGGTGCACACTTTTAACAAAAATGCTTAGCTGGTGCTAGAAAATAGAAGCTGTGCGGATGCCATTCCTCCAGCTCGTTAATCTGACTGTCACGGAGGTGTAAAGAATCAGATAATGTTTTTTACATCCTGTTATTTAAATAGAGATTAAATAACAGCTTTTCTGATTTGGCCATAATGGTAATTGAGCTTAACTTTTCCCTGGACAATTTAGTAGGTAAAAAAGAATGAACTGAATAACCAAACAATTGATTCTTAGTCCTGTCTTAGTGCAGATCTTAATAGATTGCAACTTTTTCCTGAGGTTTGAAGTCAGCTTTCTTAAAATTAATATATAGATAGTATTTAAGTATTGTATGCTTGGTTTTATTGTCCCTCACTGCCATACATTCTAATATGTGCGGTGTAGTTATGCATGGGATTAGTATTGGGAAGATCAAGTTTCATTTTGCAAAATGAAGCTGTTAGCAAGACAAAAATGTATTAGTTATTCCATTTTTAACAGCTGCCAAGGTTAACTGAAATTGCCCATTATTTCTGTGGCATAATATGAGCGTTTTATGTTTCTGGAAAGCGTAATCTATACCTTTGAGTTAGTTGCATTAAGAACTTAAGCCGTGCTTCACTGGATCAAGTCCCTAGCTTGTCTAGGCCAATTGTCTCTTCTTTTAATGGCCAACCAACTGCACAGGACAACTCGCTAATCCTCTACCAGATGGTCTTCAGAGGCAGCCCCATTGCCATTGAGGCTAATAGCTATTCATCCTCATGATATCTGTAGATTGGTCCAATTTTTTTTTTGAAACCAGCCATCCTCGTAACCATTTCCCACTTGTGGTGGTAAATTCCAAAGTTTAATTATATAGTACATAAAAAAATATTTTTTGTTTGTCCTAATTCTTCCAGGATCCAGTTTCTGGTTCCAGTACTTTGAGAAGGGGGAAATAGCTTCACATTGTGCACAATTTTGTAAAAATTTTCCCATTTCTGTTGAATCAGCTTATTTTAGGGAAAAAAATCCTATTTAGGTAGTCCTTGCTTAAGAACTTAAGAAGTGGGACTGGCAATTGTCTTTAAGCAGTGCAGCGATTATGTGAGACTTCATGTGGCTATGATGGCCTTATAGCCTCTCTTCCACAGCAGTTTTTAAGGGAATTACCCGTGGTCATAAAGCAAGACATCCCATGACCATGGCTGGTGATTTTACTGTCAGCTTTTCCATTGACTTTGCTTGTTAGAAGCTGGCCGTGGTGTGCAAAATGGTTATCGCATAAATACAGAAAGCTGCAACAGTTGTGAATGCATCTGAATGTTAGCCATGTAGCCACAGAGGCTACATGGTAATAAAGTTATTTTTACAGTGCCATCGTAATTTTGAATGGTCATAAAACAGGACAGTCATTAAGTGAGGACTGCCTGTATTTGAATTTTGACTCACATTCATCGACTCTCAGTGATTTCATGTACCATTCCTTATTAGTATTTCAGGTCATTTACCAACAAATTATGGCTTTTGTCTCATTTTTGACCCTTGTTCTTTCACTTCAGCTTATGTACATAAGAAAATCCGCGGAAAATGGATGTTTAAGAATTCTGTGGAAGTAATGGAGTTCCATGGAGGGATGTTCTCTTCTTTTTCATGATGAAAAATAAATTGGGCAATAAAGTAAATTAATCTTACTTTTTTCAATTATTTTGCACTGAGTGCACTGCCTTTTTTTTACATGGATATATTAACATCTATAAGACTGCAAGATGAAGACGAATCAGATTATGTTCTTTGCTTATGCTTCAGGGATTGGCAATAGTTCCTGCGACATACTTTTTATGTTTAATTTCAAGAGACTGTCTAAATTTGTGAGTTTTCAGAGTAATGATTCAGAAAAATTGTACACTATGCAGTCTCCTAAGATTTCAATCATTTTTAAAATAATTTTCTCCTTTAATGATGTTGCCTGTGCCATTATGCAAAATCTCATAAGAATGTCTGGAAAATTGCTAAAATCTGATTTACATTAATGCTGAATTTATTTGCAAGAAAAATGTATCCTAGCTTATTTTAAAGTTTTACAGATCAGATTTTTCTATTCATATATTTTTTTTAATTTGTGTACCTTTTTAATTTGATTGAAGTTAAATTTAATTAGATGAATTTCAGTCTATTTGAATAGGTCTTATCCCTTTGAACATACTATGAATACTGAAATAAAAGTATAAGTAGCACAATATAATCTGAATCTCCACTGCAGTCATTGGCAAAATGGTTCAGTAAAATGCTGCTCAAATTTTCAAAGGTGAAAACCCCCAGTTTACTTGGCTATTTTGTTGATTGAAATTAATTTGAAAATACCTGATGCCATAGTACTGATTTTTTTCCCCTTGAATTAATGATTAACAACTGCCTTTTTTACCTCTCAATTACTAGGGTTATCTTCCTGCAAATACAGATAGGCGAGAAGGTACTTTGCAAAGAAAACGGAAAGAATACTTCGCTTTTGTTGAACAATATTATGATTCAAGAAATGAAGAAACTCATCAGGATACATATAGACAGGTAAAGGAATTGTTAAAATGACTCTTGTTAAATTGTTAAAATGAAAAATCAAATGCACAGGTACTGTATACGTGATACCTTGCTCAATAGTAGTAACCGTGAGAGGGATCTTGGAGTCCTAGGGGACAACCAATATGAGCCAGCCCTGTGCAGCAGCTGCCAAAAAAGCCAACACAGTTCTAGGCTGCATAAACAGAGGGATACAATCAAGATCACATGAAGTGTTAATATCACTTTATAATGCCTTGGTAAGGTCACACTTGGAATACTGCATCCAGTTTTGATTGCCACAATGTAAAAAAGATGTTGAGACTCTAGAAAGAGTGCAGAGAAGAGCAACAAAGATGATTAAGGGACTGGAGGCTAAAACATATGAACTGGGCAGGAACTGGGTCTGTCTAGACTGATGAAAAGAAGGACTAGGGGAGACATGATAGCAGTGTTCCAGTATCTCAGGGGCTGCCACAAAGAAGAGGGAGTCAAGCTATTTTCCAAAGCACCTGAGAATCAATGGGTGGAAACTAATCAAGGAGACAAGCAACCTAGAACTAAGGAGAGATTTCCTGACAGAACAATTAATCAGTGGAACAACCTGCCTCCAGAAGTTGTAAATGCTCCAACACTGGAAGTTTTTAAAAAGGCAAGTGGTTCATTTCTCTGAAGTGGTGTAGGGTTTCCTGCCTAAGCAGGGGGTTGGACTAGAAGACCTCCAAGGACCCTTCCAACTCTACTCCTCTCCTCTCCTCTTCTATTCTGATGAGGGCAATGTCAGAAGTGTATTCTGTAGCAAGAATAGCCTTGTTATCTTTTGTTGCCATAATACTATCCCAAACTGAATGAACATTTGAAATGGGCACATTAAAGGGATTTATCTGATCATAAGAAAAAGTTTAGGCTTTGGTTTCCCATAGGTCCTGGTTGTCGGAGCCCTGGCTTTGTTTATGAACAGCTGCAACTTTTTTTTTTTTTGAGAAAAAGGTGTATGCTTTTTTCTTTTAAATGTATTTAGTTAAGAATATATAATAAAAAAATATATTATCAAAAATACAGTTTATCTACTCAATAATGGAAAGTAGCTTTCCGTGTATTGCACAGAATCTAATATGGTCCTTGACCTGATGCAAACTGCCTAAACTCTAAACCACCCAGGCTGTTCATTTAAATATATTGCATTCTTCTATTCCTAATACATAGATCATATTCGGTTTCTTCAGTCTTCAGGTCCTTCCTTCTGGAAAAGAACTTTTGGTGTTTATAGCTTTTCTTCTAGGCTTTAAAATCCTGATGTAGGATCTGATTTTGCAGGACTTTCATGAGACCTGCTTTAGCATCCTGATTCCCCCCCCCCTTCCCCCCCCCCAGCTTGGAGTTAACTTTAGAAATAAATATACTGTAATTCAAGATATAAAGTGATAATTGGATTTTGTTTTGTTTTGTTTTTCTGGTTATATGATATGGAATAAGTCTTCCAATCATTCTATTTCTTTATGTTGTTTCCCTTTACTTCTCTTTTAATATTAAACTACCTAAAGAGTTGGGGAGCCTGAAAATTGAACTAAATGAAAAAAAAAAACAGGAAAAAAATCAGTAATTTCCAAATCTTTAGCTTCAAGAAGTATTTTTCTTTGTGACTGTAGCTGTGGGATCTCTCCACATGTCAGAAACTGTTCCAGCATTGTATAAAAAACGTATATTTGGTTTGCCTATGAGCTAAGCAAGCCAGGTTTCCGCTATTAATAAATCTATTAAATAAATTAAATCTCAAAAGAGCACTCTGCTTTTGGTTCTGTTCATTGCTGAGGAAGATAAATAATGTTTTTCAGGACAGTCTGAAGATCGGGTCTTTCTGACACAAATTACCAAAGGAATGCCCCTAGAATATACTTTGGAAATTTATGTTAGATCAAAGCTGGAGTACTTGTCATTACCTTCAAAAAGTTGCTGAAGTTCAGCTGATTCCTCATCACTGAATTTATCCAGCAGTTTACTGAAGCTATGGGATTGTAGTCCACCAACTTTTAGAGGTTATAAGATTCACTAATGGTAGTTGTATACAATATGGTTGTTGTATACAATGAATTAAAAAATAAATATAATTTCCTCCTCTTCATTTACATGCCTGTAATTTCTTTTTGAAGGGATTTCTCTCTTCTGGAAAGATAGTATACTTTTGTGAAATAATTGAAAAATATCTTCTTAGCCAAAGGTGGCTGTGTAAATCATCTGCATAAATTGTTTCCAGTGCCCTATTGTGTGTCTTCATTTTGAGGGTGTTTTTGTAACTGATGTTTTTTATTCTATTAACTGATTAAAGACAAGATCAAGGATGTCATAGGTTTAACATGGTTCAGGGATGATTAAACAGTAGGCAATAACAGATGACACCATACTTTGTACCTGCAGAAGCTTTTGGCATGCAGAGAATTTTTAAACGGAAAATAATAGATAAGCTACCACTCATACCACTGAACTAACAGTAAGTATATATTATAAGGCTTTATAAAAGATAAGGCTCTTAGAATGCTAAAGGTGAGGTATTTTTTTGAAAAGTGAAACCTGCAATATATTGTCTGATTTGAACCTGCTTGTATATTTTGAAGGTTTCTGAATTTAAATGCTTCTGTTACAGATTCATATAGATATTCCTCGCATGAGCCCCGAAGCTTTAATTCTTCAGTCCAAAGTAACAGAGGCAAGTATAATCCTAAAGTTCTCCAATTTGTGTTTGGATAGATCATAAGTTAAAATATATCACTCACATATGCTGTGTTGAAAAAGGTATTTCCTTTATAAGCAATGCTTATTGGATGGGAATGGTTTGCCAATCTTAATTACTGTATTGTTTAGTTGAAAATGCAGAACGTTCAAAGTCTGAACCAAGCATGCAGCTCTCCTCAGTAATCAAATGGGCCTTAGATTGTATCGAGAGCTCTGCTTTCATTCAAACAAGAAGTTGCTGTAACTTCTCACCCAGTCTTGAAATTTATTGGTCTAGTTCTGCACTATATTCAGGAGGGGCTGAACTAAGTGACTCAGTTGTATTTCTGTTACCTCAGACAAGAGTGTATATCTAACTGGAAGTCCAGATGCATGCCTCATGAAACTGAACTCTTAACTTCATTGTCACCCTACTTTCAGAATCCCAGAAAAAGAGTGGGTGAGGTTAATTTGGAGAGAAGATAAATGCTTATTCTCATCCCAGTAATCCCATTACTGAAGATGTATCCAGAATAAACAGATCCAGAATCTCTAAAGGGGATTTGGAGCCTCTTCTTCTTTTTCCCCTCATTGGTCCAACCCCCCCCCCCCCCCTTTTTTCTTCTTGCTCATTGATCTTTTTTAAAAAAAAATGCGTGATTAGCAGGAAATCAGATTATGTAAACTCCATTTTTCAACTACTTCTGAAATCTCTAGAGTATACCAAGCATTTCCTTAGCTCAGTCTACCATATATACTATAATGATATTCACAAGAAATGAATAATCTCAGATTACAGGGCAGGGGGAAAATCTGCAATTACATAGTAAGCTTTGGAGAGAAATAAGCTATTCTACTCTCCCTTGATATTAATCCTATATTGTAAAATCTTTAGAGCCTTGATGTTAATCCTATAACATAATACATTTCAATGATCTCAATATGTAAAGTCTGTACTATGTTAATTTGACTAATAAGTATACATGAAAGCTAGCGAGCGTGAACTTTCCAAACTATCTACATGAAAATCGTTTACAGCAGCCCTTGATTTGAAATATTCCTCCAAAATTGGACCTATCAGTATTACAGCTACAAAGATTGTTTACAAGACTTAATGGGACTTGATAGCTCTGATAAAGAAATATCAATATACTCATTTATGTACATGAATATGCCTTCATGGACATTGATTTTTTAAAAATACTTAATTCTTACTGCTTTATATTTGTTACTTTAATATCTCTTTAAAAAATGGAATTATCTGATTTCACTGCTGTTATTTTTCTTCAAATTCAGCAAATATTTATATATGAGATCTCCATAAAAGTACAATATATTAATGGCGAATTCAGTTTTGTTAGCTGAACACTGTATATCAACACTATTTAAATTCTGTTATAAATGTTGCTATGTTCCAATAGCTAAGCATGGTTCTTGCATTTTTATTGTAATATGTTTAACAACATCACCAATATCTTGGTGCTAACTTGGTTTTCTGAATATGTACTGAGGTCTCAAGTAGGCTCATTGAGATTCCTCACCCATCATCAAACTGTTTATTTTCTAATTTTACTTAATATTATATTTATACCCTACTTTCTGTTCATATAAACACACTAGGTGGCTTCTAATAATTAAGAAATTGCAAATTATGATTTATAACAAAAATTAATATAATTAAAATCAAAATTTAATCCTGTATCATTAAAATCAGTTAAAGTTTGGTGAAAAAGACACATTTTTTGCCCTTCTTCTGAGTATCAAAACTTGGTAGCCAAATGCATCTTTTTAGAGGTGGCTTCCATTGCCTGACAGTCTCATAAAAGAGTCATCTTTCACATATCCAGTGCATGAATTTCGGACATACGTGCTTTCTGTTATAATTATATATATTTTTCCTTATATTTCCCCCCCTAGATTTTTGAAAGAATTTTGTTTATCTGGGCAATACGCCATCCAGCCAGTGGATATGTTCAGGGCATTAATGATCTCGTGACTCCTTTCTTTGTTGTCTTCACTAGCGAATATACAGGTAAAAATTAATGTTACTTTATACATTGCTTTAATCTGATATTTTATTATTATTGCTGTCTTGTGTTCCTTAGCATTTATGTTTATGAAAATGCAGAGCGTATAAAGAGTAATCAATTAGTTAAATTAAAAAAATATTTATTTATTTTTTAAAATCCCACCTTAGTTATTTTTATAAATAGCTCAAGATGGCAAACATACCTAATATTCTTTCCTCCTCCTATCTTCTCTACAGCAACAACCCTGTGAGGTCAGTTGGGCTGAGAGGGAATGACTGGCCCAAAGTCACCCAGCTGACTTAATCACCCAGCCCAACTTAATCACTAGACTAGTGGTTGCCAACCAGTGGGCTGTGGACCATTGGGGGTCCACGAGAAAATGTTGGTGGTCTGCAGAGAAATGTCACCCCCAAAGCATCCCCCAAAGCAATTAATTCAGGATGCACAGGAACACAAATGGCCGTGAAAGGGCGGGGGGGAACTTACCCCATTCGCCCCACATGCCTCGCCTGGCCACCGGGCTGCTTCTTTCCACTTCTTCTTCTGTTTTTGGCTGCACTCAAGGAAAGCAGCAAAAATCTTTCTTTCTCTCCCCCGAACTCTGCCAGAAATGAGTCTTTGGGACCCTGCAAGGCATCCTGCTCCAAGAGGCTACGCGGCACAACAAGTCTCACACACACTCATTTCTGGTGAAGTTTGGGGGAGAGAAAGAAAGACTTCTGCTGCTTTATTTGCATGAAGCCAAAAGTCGTCCCCCCCCCCCCCCGAGAACGGAGCTGGAGATGGTATCCGGTGATCCCAAATAAAGAATGATTGATCGGTAGGAAAATGGGGTGGGGAATTTTCCTGCAGACTTTTGGGGAGATTTTCCCAGGGTCTCTGGTCTGCAGGATTTAAAATTATGAGTTTGGTGGTCCCTGAGGTCCAAAAGGTTAGTGACCCTTGCATTAAACCAAGCAAATTGAAAGGGTTTTTTTTTTCTTGTAAGAATAACATTTGATAGATTCTAACATTCATGTTCGTAGTATACTTAAATCTTTTTGCTCAGCTCTTCTTCATCCTATAATTCAATTTGTTTTCTATGTCTCATCAACAATTCAGATTGATTTTGTTTGATTAAGGACAGATTACCCTTGAATGCATGAAAATCTGTCCGTTTACTTATTCCATCTATTGTTTCAGTGCATGGAAAGCCCCCCCCCCCCCCCCCCAACTGAGCAGCTAATGAGAATTACTGCGGCTTGTTCTCCTAATAATCTCTTAAGTAGGAAAGGGGGCTACTCTAGAGAGTGTTTATAGTTTCTGCCTTTTACTCCCTGATTTGACAGATAATGAAAATGATGTTAATGAGCCTAGAACAGTAGGGTCTGTGCTGGTGTACTTTACAGTTGTTAATTGAAATAACTTCAAACGAGATGTGATTAGAGGATTGATATTCCATGTTAAATAGACCATTTAATTAATATAGTAAATATGTTGGTCTTAAGTACTTTACCATCAATTTACATTGCAAATCCTTAGCAAGTTGTCTGTATTTTCTGAAATGTTCTCTCTACAGATAAGGAAATAATTGTCTAATGTCCACTTGTAGTAACTGTCATAATACCAGTGAAATGTTGTCAGTGTGTCACCTTTAGAATGGAAGGTACTGCTATGTTACTCTAATGGAGAGAATTTTATTGGGATACTTGATTATATAACCACAGTTTTCTCTTCATTATCTTCTGTTTATTATGCCTTACCATAACTTCTCCAGGGTGGAAGCAATAATAGATGTTCTGGTTAGCTCAGTGGAGAAGAAGTGAATCTAGTTGTCTTGGCTGAGTAAACTAATGGCACTAATTACTGAATGCTAAATTGAAAGCTAGAAGGAAGACTGGAACTCAGTATCCTGTTTTTTAGTTTCATGACTGAGAAATCCAAATCAGCAACTTGTGAAAGTTCTTGCATTGTATATTTTTGAATATATAAAAATAATAGCAGTGACCTACATACATTATTCTGTCAGGGCAGGACTGCATGCAGTTCACCATGGAAGGGAAGACATGAAATTGATTCTGTGTCACTAAGTGTTAATTTAAAGTAGCTCTGTTATAAATTTAAGGTTGTTTTTTTTTTAAATCAACCTTCTAAATCTGCTGTTGCATGTAAAAATAAGCTATTTGTGAAGCATCTGTATTGTTCTGTTTCAATTAGCCATCAATTTGAAGAATTTTGTTTGGAGGGAGTGCTAATAAAAACTTGTTGGAATAGGAATGTAGTACTCTTGGTGGGGGTGTGAGGTTAATTGGGTACTTCCTTTTATTGTGCAAGTTATTAATTTTAGAGGCCAAACAGGTTCCCTAGTAGGGCAGGGTCTAATTGACATTAGTTTAAATAATTGTGAAGAATCCTCTAAGTACAGCTTGGAATTATTGATTGCATCACGTATTTTAATGAATATTTTTATTTCTGCTTTTCAGTTTGGAGTGAAGTTTGATGTAGAGACTAAGGTTAGTTAAGGTTATTAGAAAGATTAGAAATCTAGTCCTGTCTTGGGCACAAAGCCAGCTGGTGACACTCACCCTAGAAAGGAGGTAATGGCAGCCACTTCTGCAAAAAGACTTGCCAAGAAAACTGCAGGAACTCATCCAAGCAATCTCCAAGAATCTGACTTGATTGAATGAAAACAACAACAACTTCATTTAATATTTGATTTGCTATAGACAAATAAGGCTAAGTATTTTTTTGTCAAATTTTATTGGTTTAAAAATGGACAGTTCCTAGAACTAATAACCTTTGCAGAACCTCCACATTTATGGAATAAAAATTTAGGTCCACCCACAAATTATTAACTCCCCCTGCTGTTATACCGGCTTTCCCAGTGCCACCACAGCTGACTTTTCACCTTAATTTCTTCTGGAGCTAATTCTGGTTAACTAATTTAAATATCGATTAATTTTTATTGTTGATGGATTATTTGGGGAATATAGTTGCTGAAAACAAGTTTGAATTCTTAAATCTTTGTTTTAAGTCACTTTTTGCTATTTTTAATTGCATTTATTATTCTTTTTAAGCTTTTCAGTATTCTACAATCTTTATTGAGTTCAAGCTACCTACTTTATTATATTCTACCAATGATATAGGACTCTTGCCTTCTCTTGGAAACAGATAGATACGATTCTATAGAGGAGGTTTAGACTTGGATCTTTTGTACCTGTGCAACAATTCAAGGCTAATCTCCCCACTTGTGGTGTCCTCCATGCCTGGCTGGGCATTTCAATATAGAAGCACCTTCCTATTATAAATTTAGCTGTTTTTTTTAATTGTTCATAACCTTTTGTAAATAACCAATCTGACCCTAACCAGGAGGATACCGTATATAGATGAAAGAATTGATGTGTTATTACCAAATTTCTCTTATATAAATATGTATATTTTCTGTATCTTTCAGGAAGTTTTGAATCTTACCATTTATGGCAGCTTTGAAAAAAAAATAACTATTCCCATTAATTTATTAGATCCTTGTACAAAAAAACAGTTCATCCAAATACCTATCATTCAACCTGTTTGTTGTTTATGTTTCTTGTAACATAAGCACATGAAGCTTAAATGATTTGACATTATTAACAATCCCTTTCGTTGTAATAAAATCTCCAGGTCTCTAATATTTAGGGAAATAGTTTCCACTGAATTTTTAGAACATCTCTACGTGATGTTAACATTTTCTCACATCCAAGCAAATTTAGAAAGCTTATTCACAGAATTTACCAATATGCATGATATTATAACATTAAACGGGTATAACATTAATATTCTTTTTGCATTGATGCCTTCCTCCCTTCTCCCTCCACCCTTTGAAAAGCACCCTTTTCTCTTCTCCCTCCCTTCACCTCATTCCCCATTTTGCCGTTCCTCTATATCTAACTTGTCTACACTCCAATCCCACTAAGACTACTATTGAATCCTTTTCATTGATTAAAATAAGAGATGACCTAGTGAGATTCCATCTCTCCCTTCCCAGCCATTAAACTTCCACATTTAATTTCATTTCTTTAGTTCCTTATCTATAGCTTTACCTGTGACTTTCATGAAACCAGAATAATTGGTTGAATAATTAAAGTTAGTTTACTTTTTATACCAAAACACTGTAGCTATTAAAATCTTGGTATTGTCATTGAATATCTTGGTATCTTCATTAAATGTCCTTGTTTATTTGCTTATTTATAAAATTTGGCACCATCTTGTATCTAATGACTCTGGAAAACTTACAACACAAAAACATTGGCAAACTAATCATCCATTCCAAAACAACAACAACAACAGATCAAAATATTAACAGATAAAATCATAGAGACAAGATGGTATAGAAGATACTCAAGGGGATGAGTACTCACACAATTCAAAATGATTGTTTTATGGACCTCATAATATTATACTGATAAGACCTCTCTTTCTAAGGACTCATAGTATGAGCTGTCCTGCAGAAAGTATGTGTTAAGTGGCTTAGACACCTCCCTAATTCATATGGGTATGAGAAAGGGAGGAGATACAGAATAATCAGACTTGCAAGAATCTTTCTTTATTGTAGCCACTCTCAGTAAAATAGCCTTTATAATCCTGTGGAATCGTTTGCTGTATCTGGTGTAGCGGACAGATTCTGACTATAAATTTATTTGAATCTTGTGGTGCTCAAAAAGTTATTTCTGACAGATCTCTATTTTAGTTGGGGAACAACTGCAGAGATTTCTCCAGGACAACTTTTATGCTTTCAGCATAACAAAAATTCAGAACTTGATTTTTTTTAATTACATACAGTACTTGACTTTGAAGTTGCACTCAGGCAACTTCAAGCCATTTCTTCTTGGCAAGCTATTGGGTTTGTGTGTTTTTTTTCCAAAATGTATTTGTCTTTTAATTCTCTTTTATGCATTTCTGAATTACTTCAAATTTTGTTTTTAACCCGGCCCATTTTGAAGCATAATGTCAACGACTGCTGCTGATACATTTCAAGGTAACTAAG